AGCAGCAGAAACAATACAATTATTTCAATGGATATGGACTCTTCAGACTGAAAATTGGGAGATAGTACAGCTCTAAAGTTAAATATAAGGTAAATAAACAATAAAAAAAACGTTGACAGTTATGCACTTACAATGGAAGTGTTCGGGAAAAGCATACAACTGACTATCCCATATGGAGCAAGCATGTGTCTCATGAATGCATCATGCTTATATATAATACATATGCACATATGGATCAGGGAAGGGTATTTTCTCCAAGGAGGAATGTGACAAAGTGTCTCAAAAAAAATTATAATAATAATAAATAAATAAATAATTTAAAATGTAATGAGAAATAAAAAATAGACATTTGTCACACAAATAACAAAATTAAAGTGACACTATCCAACACCAGTGGAAATAGGCATTGTCTCATTCCCCTCCTTGTGAGGGAGTAACGGCAAAATCCAGACGAAAAGCCATGTGAGAGGAGGAAGCATCCCCATCAAACTATGATTGCGAAATCGACTGTTTACCATGGGAATGACATAATGCCCGTCTCTCATGTTCACAAACTTTCTGTAAATCAACCTGAATGGGTCAGAGTAGTGGGAATGGACCCGAATTCAAATGAATTCAATAAACTATTAATAATTTGTTTAAAAAAATATATTAACACAGAAGATATACATTTTATCACTTGTTGCTTTATTGTTTCACTCTGATTAGGACAATATTTTATATAATAATAATAATCAAGCACCTGCACAAAGAGGCCCCAAGTGCTGCTCAAGCCCCTGCTCTTTTGGTCTCTGACTAGGTAAGTGCCCTTTTCTTTTTAACCCTCTGGGGACCAAGGTGTTTTTGGGGTCCTTGAGATGTTTTGACATGCCCTGACATTTGTGCTTTTTTCAGTTGCTTATAAACATATTAATGGCACAGGTGAAATTACACTCTATTTAGCACAAACAGGGCTACCATAATATGTGAGCAACATGTATGTACATGTATTTTTGAGAGAATATTGTTTATGCATGGTTATTGAAAAAACTAAAAATTAAAGTTTCTGAAATAAAGCCACAAAACACATACTAAATATGTGTCCACAAGACTTTTGACTAATGGAAGTTGTGGCCTAGAGTTTTTGCTTCAAAATGATTCACATAACACAATAGATTCTTTTAAATTGTGAAAAACATTTTTTTGTTAGCCAAGGCAATATGCGAATGGGCGTGAACGGCCCAACCCCATTGTGAATAATTAGGTGGTTGAGAAGACAAAGACCCGCATATTAATGAGCCTTTCATTCAGGTGTGTCACACAAGAAAGAATGCAAGGACAATATACACACACACAAACACACACACACACATATACATACACGGAGAAGCAAAACGCACACCCTGTTTATTTTCTTTATTTTACAAAAGCACAATATTTTATTTCGATTGTAGGTGGGCACATAAAAAAGTAGACATTTAACAGTTTATTTTTTAATATGTCTTAACTCTGTATGACCAGAAATGATGGAGTAGTTTAAGTCTATTTTTCTGCTATGTGAACAAATTTGCCAAAACACACTGGTGCGTTTGCCGTCCCCAGAGGGTTAAGTACATTTATTGTTTAACTGTATTAAATCTAATTCTCCGAGACGGAACAGTATGTAACTTACTTAAATTGTATGTATTTTTATAGTAATTGTGAGAGGGGTGCCCTTTTTTCTCACTTGAGCACCTGCCCCCCAAAATAGCTGTTAACGGCCCTGATAATAATAGTAGAATAACAGTTAATAGTAACAAAATCTGCACAAAATATGTTTCCTGTTTTAAGTTATTGATTGCTGAACAGTATAATATTTGTAAGCAAAATTAAAATATTAGAAATTATTGAAATTTTAAAATGTTTTTATTTTAGTAAGCAGTAAAGTTTAGAACACTGATTTTACTATTTCAGCATAAACATACAAAAATATGTTCTTTCTATACCTCTTTCTACATATTTATACGCCTCTCGCTGGCTTCTAACACTGCACAGGCCATTTAAATGCTAAGTAGCCTTGTCTTTTTCAGTCTATTTGATTATGGTCATACACTGGTCAGATGACCATCCATCAAGACTGGATTTGCACTTGTGAAATTTAATTATAAATGTATGCTTTCAAAATTCTTTCACATAAATCTCTTCAACTTCGGGATACAGCTATTATTTTCAGTGGAGTGAAGGGTTCATACAGAAAGAGCATGTGGAAATATGCCAGCACTTGGTGATTTATCTTTACAAAAAAAAAACTCTTTCTACAATCCACAATGAGTTCCACGCCTCTAGTAGCTAAAAAGTGTCTTCTTCATGACACCTTCATTTGAAATATCATGTCAAGGAATGCATGTGAATTCTTGTCACCAATTTATACAATAATAAAATTCAGCTTGTGGAAACGCATTTCCACTTGCTATTTCATCCTAGCTACAAAGCTACAAAGAGCTCCATTGAAGACAGCAGATTAGAATTTCTTCCATGGCAAACATGAGTGCACTTTTTTCCTCTAAGAGGCCAAGGGAGTTGACGGTGATAAATGGTAGTGGCAGAGGCACAGCAGCACCCACGTGGGGATTGGCACTGTCATCTGTTTTCATTTAGCCAGAGATTCATGGCACTCTTGCATGCAAAACGCGTGAAGATGCTCTACTGGAAATTGAGATGGTTAATTTCACTCACCCTCACTCTTTCGCCAGTCTTGGGCTATACATGGATTGGAAAGTGGATTCACGTCCATTCGTTCATTCACTCTTTGCCAATATACCAATGAAACTCAATGTGCGTCTACAAAGCCTTTTTTCCATAGAGGACTAGTTCACCCAAAAATTTACATTTTGTCATTTACTTACCCTCATATCATACCCTACCCATCATATTATGTTCTTACTCCCATGAGATTTGTGTGGGGAACAGACCAAAATGTAAGCAACATTTTTAAGATTACTTTTTGAAGAGAAAAAAATACAGAAGCTCGGAGATTCTGATATGATCGATCTACTTTAGTTTTTCATGGAAAAAGAAAACATGGGGATGAGTAAATGATGAATAAATTTTCATTTTGAGGTTTGCTTCAAATAAGACTGCATGTGTACTGTGCCGAATTGTCAATTGAAATAATGTTGATGGTGAAATACATTAACCATCTGTTACTTTGACATTAATTATAGGGGCAGTACAGCAAATATTGTAACAATACCACATCTGATTAATCTGACACATCTTAACACAGGATGTTAATTTGATTAAGAATACTGAAATAGAGTTCTCACTGTTTTGATATCTACTGTGTTGACTACAAACTATATTTGGAATATATATACAGTATATATATATATATATATATATATATATATATATATATATATATACTGTATTTATCTGCTGCTTTCCTCTAACAAACATAATCTATTTCTTAATGAGTGAAATAGAAAATATGCAAATTATTAGTAAAGATCAGACTTTAGAAAAGAAGCTTAACCTCAAACTATTTAGTGTCAGTGAACAAGACTGCAATTAAAGAGACATTAAAACAGCCACAGCATACAATAACTTCACTTTCCTAATCCATTATACATTTGCACCTAAGATTATCAAGCACTGCTGCTGTACATTAGAGAACAAACCATTAGTACTGCTTTCACGTCAGTCTTCAATGTAGGCTACAATTCCATCAGTGGTAATTAAAACACAAAATTAAGCAGGGAGAAACAGTGGAAAAAGCTCATTGATGGAGTTGCATTTCTTTGTTATGAATCAAGCCAATAGTTTGTGAAGGTAAGCACAGTACAACATCCAGTCCTCTGCAAGATTTAAGTTTATCAACATTAAAGAAACCTACTGTAGAAACAGATCTAGTAGAACTGCATCAATGCCCAATCTGCCTGAGAAATGCTTTGAAAATGTGAGTCAGATATGAAATATTGCAATCTAGAGCTACTATTCCAAACAACTAACGCGAGGTAGGGTAAAGTAAGATGCATTCCGCAGTGTTGGGGGAAATACCGTCATTCAGGCAGGATTCAAAAAGGCCTGCACACCTTCTATAAACCCCACACAAAAAAATTGGTCTGAAATGTATGTTGACGACAATCACAGAAAATTCTAAAAAATTTTAATCTTTCTAAATCTTTGTCTATAAAGCTTCATCCGTTACCTTTAACCACTCATTCACTATATCAGCTTTTACCACAGAGAAACGTATCATGGGTAAAAAGCTATATGAATGAATGAATGAATAAATATATAAAGAAAGAAAGAAATAATCAAAGATTGACTATGGTGCAGAAGAACGCTTGTTGCCATGGAATATCAGCAAATGTTTATATCCATGTTAAAGTGGCACTAATAGTATGTCTTATCTCATATACAATGATCAACATATAAAACCATCCAAGTTATATTGAACCTTATGATTACTGTCATGGTTACTATAGTAAATTTTATAAGACACATGCAGGCCTGTTGTTCATAGGGTAAAATCATAATAAAATATTATTACAGCTCCTTCGATCATTGAAAGTAGCTTTCAAAAGCTTTCTGCAATGTTTTATTTGTTTATTTATTTATTTATAATAATAAAGCCACCACTGTAGAACAAAGTAATATGGAAACAGTATCAACGTATTTTTTACCGAATAAATCTGACTACACTAGGTTAAAGCTACAGTAGGTTATATCAAAAAGTAATGCACATTTCCACTTTTTTACAATGCAACAATAAATCCGTGCAAGGACCATCTTTTTGGTGGTTACCATGGTGACTTTAATAAGGGCCAACCGTCCCTTGCCAGTTTTAAGTATCCCATATAGTAAATCCCCAGACATTTATTGCTAAGCATTTAACATAACAGATCGCTATCAGTGTGGGTAAAGTAGTGCAAAATAAAAAAATCTTGAGGTTAACAAAAAATTATAATGACGTATAATCCGCCACACGAGAGATACAATATAGACAATCAATCCATTTTTTCATATAGTCCACTTACCGGATGGTGCTGAAGCTTTTTCAATCTCGCACGTCAGATAAACGAATAATCTTTGCGATGTATTTCCACAAGTTTATATCAGATGTACTTCATGAAGATGTGGTTTATCACGGGCAGAACCCGCAGATGAAATTAAACGAGATAAACTGAGGAGAACCGTAAATAGCGAGACGGAGTCAGTCAATATAACGATGCAGTTTGTCAAAGTCGCCAAAGTTATTTCTGCTGATCGTCATATATCATCTGCTCGACTTGTTAGTTTTTGACATCCACTTAGAACTTCCATCCTATCAGATTTTTTTTTAACCAGCACCTGGAGGATAACTGCCCCTTTCTCTGCTTTAGAGTGAATTCAATCCTTTGGAAGCGCCTCCACACGTAACGTTAATTCAGGAAGCATAGATGGAGAGTTCAGTCGTATCACACACATGCGGTTACAGGGCTTTTCAGATCGGCACACTACCATATTACTCCTAATAGGAATGCAGTATACAGTAGCCTATTGGTGTTCGATTCACAAATGAATCATCTTTTGAACAGCTTTTTTAGTGATTTGGTAGATCCGATTCGCGCAGCATCTGTGAATCACTCGACAGTGAGGACGGCGAGTAACACTTCATACGACGCTGGATTCTGTAAAACAAGAATTGGAAAAAAGGTGATTAACAGCCGTATGTTATTAAAACGTGTACTGCAACATGACACGTAAAATTACTTATGCGAACTCTTTTAAGTCATGAAACGAATCAGTGTACCGTTTCTTTAAAACAAACAGTCCGAACGAACCGACTCGTTCAAACGTATAGGACCTCTCAATAGGCTACTAGTGTGTAGAATATAGAGCGTTAGTTCTGCTGAGGAACTGTTCTTCAGCATTTAACTCTTCAATCCGTTTATTAGAAAACTCTTTATAAGTATACATTTTTTTCATGTATCTGTTTGAACATACATAGCCTACAGCTATAGAATGAGTGTTTGCTGAAATAGTTTTGCAGTGCTTTATGACAATATCCGAGTTAGCGCCTCCCTGTGGTCTATCACGTGTGTGAATATCCCTGGATTGAGTGTGGGTATTTTGAGACTTTCCTGATCTCAATACACACTTGGATCTGTCCATTTGAGTTTAACCAATCAAAAAATACTCTCTTGTTTGAGAGTAGGTGGCTGTAGTCAGTGGAGGAGTGAAATAAATGCACTCAAGACAGTTCTCACTTCTTGTTGGATCAGCCACCTATGATATCAAAGGCAGATATTGCGTGATTCATGCTCATGTTCTTTGTTACTAATAGGGTAAGACGGGGTAAGATGCACCCCGGGGCACTGTTTCTCTTGACCATAGATGGCACAAAAGCTCCTCTCAACATTTGATGAATGAATGTGCTCTTCTTAATTTTTTAATTTCATCTAAATATCCATTTTTAAAATTTAGTCAGTCAAAACAGTTTTTACGTTAACCATGTAGGCAAATCTAAGTTTGTGTCTCTGAAAATAGTGATATGTGTCATTGTATTAGGCCTATGCTTTGTGTCCATTTGTTAAATCGGCATTTGTGGACATGTTAATGTTTTTGTTTTGTTTTTCTTATTGTAATTCATGGGGTTATTATTCATTTCCATGAGTTAGATGTAGGCCATGGCTTACACTTTAGATATCTTTGCTATTCATTAGGCTAATTGAGTGAAATCATTTTAATTGTAGGCTACTTCTTTTAGATTTACTTGTTTTAGAGCTACTTGCTACTTGTTACTCATTTGAACTCATAATAACAATAACAAATTTTTCATTCGACTACTATTTTTTTTTTTATATATAATTATTGCAGTCATCAAAACTGACTTGACATCAAAAATAATTATGTTGACCAAAAATGTTGAAAATAATGATCTTTGTAGTGAAGTGTCAGCTTCAGTTCAAAGTTCAAATAATTTCAACCATAGACTGTAAAAAAAAACATGTTGTTTGTTCCTGCATAAAGCATATTTTTTTAGTGAAATTGTTGAATGAATGGTCAGCTGACTAACTCACTCATAAAGACAGTCTCTTGCCGCCACCTACTGACGTAACAATGTAACCTGCACTGAAATCTTTGAAAAAACCCTACCAACACTAACAGAGACTGACCATCTGTCTAGTAACAATTTATCATTTATTTTTTCACATTTTTTAAATATCTAATTACCTGCTTTCCAAAATTTAAACACAAGTTTTTGGAACAAACATAACATAAGTGTCACATCAATCATCTGACTAAATTCTACATTAATAAATAATGGATTTACATGGATTTACATGGTCACATTATGAAATAAATGGCACCCCTAGAAATTCTTATGAGTAAAATATCTCTTAAGTATATTCCCATTCATCTTTTTTTTTAAATTAGCACACTGGTGACCAGTAACATGAAATTGTCCAGCCATGACTTCTGGTTTCACAGGAGTATAAATATGAGGAAACACAATGGCCAAATTCCCTTAATCATCCATCACAATGAGTAAAACCAAAGAATATAGTTCTGATGTGCAGCAAAAGATTGTTGAGCATCTCAAAATAGAAAGTGGTTGTAAGAAAATAGCTAAAGCATTGAAAATCCCCATTATGACCATCAGGACAATAATTAAGAAGTTCCAATCAACTAAAGATGTTACGAATCTGCCAGGAAGATAGTTCTGATGTGCAGCAAAAGATTGCTGAGCTTCACAATTCTTCACTGAGCTGCACTGAACCCTATTTTTAAAAAAGTGTGGTGAACTGAAGAGAAGAAGCACTAACATGGACCAGAATTTGAGAGATTCTGTATGGAGGAATGGTCTCTGATCTCTTGTCGAGTGTTCTCCAACCTCATCGGGCATTATAGACGAAGACTCAGAGCTGTTATCTTGGCAAAAGGAGGTTGCAAAAAGCATTGAATAAAAGGGTGCCATTAATTTTGGCCAGCGTGTATTGAAGAAAAACATTTATTTCATAAAGAGATTTTCCTCACATTTTCAATTCTTTTAATTTAATGAAGGTTCGATTTTTAGTTTTTTAATTAAAGGTCAAAAGGAATAACAATGCAAATTTATTTTTACACACTTCTTTGTTCATTTTTACCAAGGGTGCCAATCATTTTGACCATGACTGTATATTTCATCTTATTATGCATATTAATTTGGATAAGAAAATATTGAAGAAAATATGATCCACCGTGACCCTTGACCTCCACTTCCCCTGTGGTCGTACAGTGTGAGTCCATCTGTTTTCTAATCAGGATGTGATTGTGCCAGGTTGTTTTTCCATATGTTATGACTTGTCCCTGGGATCTCACTCAGGCAGTTAATGGTTGCGTTCCTTCCTTTGTCTCTAGTTGGTTCACATCTGTTCTCTTTTTCCGAGCAGGAGAGATGTTATGTGAGGGATATGTTTTCAGTATGCATACCATCCATACTGGCTATGGTTGAAACAATACAAGTTTTTAAGAAAAAAGAAACATTGATGATATAAAGCATTATTGTAAAATAAAATATTGTAACAAGACATGCGTCTTGACATGAATGTTGTATTTTTCAGGTTTTAAAGGTCCCCTGACATGGGGTTATTTTATTATTTTATAATGTTTCCTGGGTTGCCCTTATAATGTTAGTATGTTTTTTAGATCAAAAACAGTCATAATTTAGAAATAAAAGGCATTTTTCCTAGCCTGATTTTAGCATAGACAGTAAGGGATTTTAGCCTCTGATTTGAACGCTCTGTTTGAAGGGGCGTGTCTGCTGTGTGTAACCGGCCTCTGCTGTGATTGGCTGACATGCTTGCATATGAAATAGCTATGTATTACATGTGAAACTCTCTCGAATACTTTTACTATTATACGTTTTTACTATTACAGCTATCGAGATTAACGAATCGTGAGAAGTTTTTAAAGTATTTAGATCTATTCCCATCACATAAAATGTTGCCGTGATGATCATTGCGCAAGCAGATGACAGTCTGTTGATCGCGAGAATGAAGATCTTATCATTGCATCGCAGTTTCTGCACTCTCTCTAATGCTTTCAGTCGGCACATTTCCAGAGAAAATAAAATTAACCCATTGTTTCTTCAGAGGCTCGGATGAAGGAACTAAAAAATACTTTTGTGTTCATTTGTACATCCGAACACTGATCAACTGCCATGCTTCGCTCGTTTGCAAGCCATGATATCTCTCGAGGAAAACTCAAATCTCAAAGCTATTTCTCTAGGAAAAACTAAAATCACTGTATTCTCTGGTTTTACTCATTGTGATGGATGATTAAAGAGCAACGTGCAGGTTGAATTTATAACTGAATTAATACTTGATATTGTCTGAAGAGGTCTTTTAAAAACACATATGTAGAAATTACTAATGAAATCTCATTTGATGTAGAGATTTTGATGAAAATGTGCTAGGCTCTGGAATACGCCTTTCCCGCTAGCAACGCGTCATATGACGTAGGCCGAGGCAAAGAGCTCGCGGTCAGCTGTAGTTAGAGCGGTAGTGAGAGACAGTAAGTTTTAGATCGAGTTTTAGAGATGCCATAATGGTAAATTGTTGTGTTTGTGCTGGTTGCACGAATTCCAGCCTGTCAGGACATCGTGTCCATCATTTTCCTTCTAGGAAAAACAAGGCTTTTCGTTCTTGGGTGCGTTTTGTGCAGGTGAAGAGAATACATGAATTACACTGGTATCTGTCCCGATACCGACACTGGATCGGATCGCCCCCATCCCTACCTGTGGGCCATAGGCATGCTCGTCAACATCGGAGAACTCGGTTTCTTCATTCACATCCATTGTAACCTGAGCTTGAACTTGACCAGACTCCCTCGCCCATCGTCACTTCCGGTTAGTGCTTTAAAGACGCGGAAGTTATTTTATCACAATTTATCTCAAAATATCGTTAATGACTAAATATATATTACTCCAGTTCAGATCGGGGTGTCCAACCTGTATGTTGCTCTTTAAGGGCCATGGCAGAAGCTTCATTTTGTGCTTAGTGACCCACTTTTCTGTTGATTTTAATGTTTGTTTTTGGATCATTATCCTGATAGAAGATCCAACCTCGGCCCATTATACGATTTCTAGCAGAGGTTTTGAAATCGGCGCGTTCGTACTTCCTGTTCCAACTTCCTAACTCGTTTTCTCATGGGTGGGCCAAATTCTCCTCCGGGCGGGCAAAGCAGAGAAAGGGGAGGTAACCTTTCCTCGTTATGACGTCATAATGAGGAGATTCAAGATCAGCACGTCTGAGCTGCAGAGAAGAGAAAAATAGCCAAAGCTCGGTTTACACCGATTGAAAATTCTAGACACGAGGGGACCAAATACAGGCTAGGGGAACTAATATTAATGTTAAAAAACTAAGAGAACTAACATTAAA